CTAATACTCTCTACTGCAACGATCTGTGACTGCCATTGTGTTAGAAGTTTGTTAAAACGATACCTACAGTGTTTATTGTGTTTTATGCGCTATTTTGTTAGAATAGCACATTTCAGACACACAAGTTCTTAATTTTACATAAATCATTTCAGTTTTACACGAGGCCATCCACCTTTTGGATCAAATTCCACCCACTACAATATGAAACTAATGACACAAGCATTCAGTTTATGAATAGCGGGTTACGGAGATTTTTAAGAATAGCAGATTTGTGAGATTAATGATACTAATAACTTGTTTTTAAATGACAAGTGTACTAAGTGGTAACCGAGTAGGTTAACACATTGCAAAGTTATACAATCCTAGCCAGGTCAGTCTATGGCCCCTCCGTGCCTCGGAGAGTACGTCAAGCCGTCGGTCACGGTTACTATACGAACATATGTGGCAATCGTTACGGGTAATTGAACCCCTATAAAGTCCAACAACAGTCTTTCTACAGAACTTCGATATCGCCTAATACCTGGGTTGTGGAAGTTTGATGGCAGTCGCTCCACGTAAAAATCTAAGTTCAGCCGTATCGTAGTAGACTTAAACCCAATCCCAACTTAGTTTGGAAAAGGCTCGGAAGAGGAAGATTGAAATCCCTCTATTGAGAGAAAGTAAGTTATAAATTTTTAAATGACCATAAATTCATGAGAACACCCACGCTTTTATTTAAACTAGAGAACACCGAGCGATTGGATTTCGTTTCGAATATTTTCTTGTCTACTCTTGCCATTATATAAAATTGTGTAACTTAACAGGTTAAAATATATACTGGACCTCGATAGCATATCGTAGGTGTTTTTTTTAACCTTTCTGCATTTCTTGGTATAAACGTTTAATATTACAAAATTAAAATTCCGTCTGTGTGCATTTCCTTAAAAGTGCCTACAAAGAATTCTTCTCACGTATAGTGTATTTTATTTCGTAAAGAACTGATGAAAATAAAAACTCTTCATTTAACATGCATGTTATCCAACTTGAAAACATATATTTTCAATAACATAAACTTTTAAAATTTGTTTTTGTTTTAGGGATTTATAATTTTGAATTGAAATTAAACAAAAAATAACAAAAAAGGGATCAGTGGTACGACAGCATATACTTTTAATTACATTGTTGCTTTTAAGTTTTTTGAATTAATATAAATATTTTTTTTCTAGAAACGTAAATTTTAGCTTCTTTAGCCGTCTAAATATAAAAATAACATCGAAACATAAACACATTTGTAAATCAGACCTACTATAAACATCTATATGTCTGCCATTTGACCTTTTTTTTTTTTTTAAATAACAAATTACTAACTATACAACTCATTAGCTCATTCATAATAGGAGCTTTTTAAGTGCATTTAACAATTTTTTTTTTCAAGTATTTTAATTTGGTTTTTTTAAGACATCACCTGATAGGAAGTGACCACTGCTGCCTATGGACACTTGCAATTTAATAATCATAAGTGCGTTGCCCGCCCTTTGAGACCCCCTCGCGAATTCATTAATAAACACAAAAAAATATTGTTTTTGATTGTTTTAAAAATATATCTCATTTGTTTTTTTTTTATGTTTTTAATTATATATTTTGTCATTTTTTGGTAAATATGTGTCAATTCTTAAAGATTGAATGTAGCCTATACTCCCAATAAGTAATAGGTACCCATATGTATGTCTAGTACTCTTGGAATGTATCGTTCCTGCTTCCCTTAATTGAGACAACATTGTCTTCGACTTGGTTATCCTTTTTAAAATTAAAATTTGATGGTGGCAGTTGAAAAAGTTACCGTTAAAGAGGAAATTAAAAAAGTTCCCACTTTTTAATTACGTTTATTTACATTTTTTTTTGCTTAATAGGAATGACCTATTGTAATAATAATTATTATAAAAGACAGGCTTAAGCACTTACAAGCATAGGGTGATAATTACTTTAAAATAATGAACTATTGCTTATTCAGCACTCAAAACCGACAGTAAAACATTCTCAAATCGAAATTACTATCATCTGTTGCAGGTAATTATAGGATGTAAGTGCAGAAAAGCGAGAAACCTACTTCCAGTGATATACAGTGGTCCGATGATAATGCATAAATACATTAATTCAGAACAACAATTTGTGGATGACACAAAGTGTTACCCCATGTGCTGATCGAACCTACAACACTCTGCGCAATAGGAAGCGGCAAGGTAACCGCTTAAACTATTCCGCTATCCGTGCATGCTTAATTTTTTATTTTGCACACCATTCATTTTTGGTCTACGTAAATATGAATACATCTCGAAATATTGCTCTACGCTCGAGTAGTTGCCACTTCGCCTTCGTCGAAAAAGCCACATTTTTGGTTTTCTGTACAGTCTTCAGTTCAATAATTTACGCCTGTCCTAACTCAAAGAAACAATATTTGTGATAAAACAGGCGTAAATTGATCCGCAAGATACGTATTCAAGATTATACTCTCTGTTATACTCGAAGAACTTTGTATAAAAATAGACAGTTTATCTTCGATACATCGTTCTTCATTTAAGTTGTTCAACTGTGCGATAGACATTGCACAATTTTTGGGTTTTAATACGTATAATTTATATGTTTGTAGGATAAATGTACATATAGGTATATCAACAATACGGACCTAGAGTCTTTCGCCATTTTCTTACTAATTAACTTTACTAATTACAATTTTATAACCTTTAACAATCGTTACACTTGTCGGTTTTGTTAGGGTCGAGACGTAATACTTCCTATTTTGAAAGTGTGGAAACCCTCTACACGCCAAATAAAATAACTTTTTTGATAAATATAGAAACAGTTAACTGTTTCTATATTTATCAGAAATTAGTAGCTTATTTTAACAAGTTACGGGTAAAATGGTACATTCTGTCTGGGCCGGCGAGGTACCAGATATACCTCATATGACCCCGGGATTACTATTGGTGGGGAAAGTGTTTCAATAATATCAGAAACCGTGCCCTTTAAATTCCTTGGAAGAAAGATAGACTACAAAGGTCGTACTCTCTCTATGAACGCAATAGTTGTTGACTTCGTAAAAGAAATTGACAAGGTAGACCAACAGCCAATAAGTAACGTAATAAAAGCTTGGATTTACGGCAACTACTTAATATCATGTCTCAACTGGCCGTTTCTGGTATACGATATACACCAGAATCACTTAAGAACACAAGACATTGAAGTCGTGGCTCGGGCTAGCAACATCTGCAGACCTGTCAACGTTGCACAGGGACTCGAATAAGTTTGGAATGAAATTAAAAAGACGTTCTGAACTCTAAAAACACTTTTTGACTGAACTCTAAAAACACTCCAAAAACACTTTCGCAGGTGCTAACTGAACCCCGATTAGCACGCAATGAACCTAGAAATGCAGAATGAATGGTTAACTCTAGGAGAATTTTGTATCCCACTAGCTTTGAAATGGCGCACACTTTTATACAATGGTCACCTGCCCTGCTAAAATTTTACCTAAAGGTGGAGAAAAGCTACAGAGAAGGCTTGTACGAAGTGCAGTGCGGAAATAGGTACAGCCAGGCACTTACTGATAGGTTGTAAGGCGCTATTAGACTGAGACAATTATTCACGTAGCCATGTTAGAGTGTTACAAATCACAAGCGAAGCTATAAGTTTATCGCTGGGGAGAGCGAAAAAAGGAATAACAACAAACATAAGAACTAATTTCGCGTTTGTAAAGGAAGTCTTTTTTGTTGAGCAACAAAAAAGACTTCACAAAAGCCGTACTCAATTATAAATACCGCCAGTGACTGGACATTATTAGTGGACACGTATGAAAATCATTAGAGAATACCGGAGGATATCTGTGCCTCGGCGTCCAGACCAGAGATATTTCTTTATGCAATTTCAATTAAGCGTGTAGTACTAGTAGAACTCACGGTGCCGTTCAAAACGAACATTCCTGAAGACCACGCTTTAAAAAAAAACAAGTACTTTGACTTAACCAACGAAAAAACTAAACATGGTTTTGTCGTTGCGTTGTATGCCGTGGAAGTGTATACGAGGGGTATACCAGCTAAATCCCTCTATAACCTGCTTAAAGACCTTGGATTGCCAAGAGCTTCAGAACGAATATCGAAAGCGGCATTGCTAGGTTCGTATCAAATATGGTTAGGTAGAGGGGGTCACACAGCAGACAGTGGAGGTGAGTGCTGACGCTTCGCAAGGAGTACTCTCTAAACCTATACCTGGGTCGCAAGTCCCAGGCGCACCCATCTATCACGCGATGGACTCGATACTTGCACGGTGAATCCATGGAACGCTAAGAAATAGGTCTTTATAAGGTAAAAAAATAGATCTTTCTATTTTCAGTGGAGAGTTGCAATCATATAGCATATGTTTTATGAAAAGTGATGTTTAAGTATTTCACGTATAATTTATTTTTATATTCCTGTGAGAATGTAGTTTTGGAACATAAAATATATATTTTGTCCTTTTCTGTACTTTCTCAATATGTAAGTAAACAGTCGTGATGATTGATTTGGTAGGCATGATGTTAAGGCGAAATAAGTAAAGGAACAAAGAGATTTGGGCACTTACTTTGGCATTTATAATTTCATGTTGTTAGCATTTTAGCATAGTTATTATACTGTTGAGAAAATAATATTTGTCTAAAGTTGTTTAGAACTAATAGTTATCTGTGTCTATTTTTGACGATATGAACCACTACTCAAAAGTACGTTTTTTTCATACATCAAATTTATTTTTTGTTGTATGCAGAAGTCTTTAAAAGCGGTTAGTGCTTGCTTGATCAGGATAGTGTAAAGTAAAAGGGGTACTTTGTATTGATTGGATTTATAGTATTATTTTAAGTGTTCAAGCCGAGTTATTGATATTTAGAATTAAAATAATAAGATAACCAAATTACCTACAAGAAAGTATATATATATTTTTATGTAAAGACTTTTTAATAACATGAACTGTTATATTTGTGAATTTAGAACAGTCTACTTAAAATCCGATTTTGTTACTAAATTCATTTGTAACAGAGCCAAGTTCTGAAGTGCGATGTCAGAGAAATTGTTTCGAAATTCCTCTTGAATTTCAGAGGGCAAATATATTTTTGTTAGACGCATATAGGGGCACATTACCGGCGAGTGTTGCGATAGCTGCCAGCGTAAGGAGGGCGGAGCGGCTGCGTGCCATGTCAGCAGGACATGCTGCGCGCTGCGGGCCGCGTCATCACCGCGACCGCGACATGTTCCGCCACCAGCACCTGCAGGACAAGCACCGCCTCTTCTTGATCCACCTTTGAAAAAGAGAAGTCTGATAATTTAAACTTGGAATTCATTACAAATATTACAATATATGAATAAGCATAATAAGAACAAAATAGTTCTTACACATAATATTAATTAGACAAATTATAGTCAATTAGACAAATAATTCATTGATTTTTTAAAAAGTCAGCAATCTCGAGTCCCAAAAGATAAAGTTCTGAGCACAACAAGTGGCCAATACTTAATCATTATTGTTCTGGATACAATTAATTTGTCAAGGTTGGCAACAAGAAGATTCAGAATGTAGCGGTACGCGAGTGCTATCTATATACGTATAGATGGCGCGGCGGCGACCGGCCGGCAGCCGGTGCGCCTCTGACAAGACTCATACTTGCCAAAACATCCGTCCGAATGATACCCGGGGAATTTCTCTATTGAATATTTATTTGCTCCGCCTATAGAGGTTTATTTTGAGGCAATGCCGGAATGACGTAGTTTATGACACGCACTACAATGTATGTCAATATTTATTTAGTTCCTTTACTTATCTTTCGTGATGTTTAGCCAAATGTTTTGTTTATTTTGATGTGAATATAATAGATATATGATGACGTTCTTTTCAGAGAGTGATATAGTAATTTGCACCGCATTATTTATAAATAAATAAACAAATTTATCTTTTGCTCAATTTATGGTAATGTCTTGAAATAATAAAATCCCACCTAAAGGAATAATCGGTATCTTTTTTTTCCATGTTTGAAATATGAATTAGAGGTTTTTGTGGTTACGGTCAGGTGACTGGCCAGTTGGTCTAGTCATTAGTGACCCTGACTGCTATGGCGGAGCTCATGGGTTCCATTCCCACCCAGGACAAATTTGTTCTGTGTTTGAGTGTAATTTCTCTATAACATGTATGTTTTTAGAAATATTGAATTATGTTTATCTGCAATCTGATTACAGGTTCTGCTTAGTTTGGGAACAGACTACCGTGTGTGAGATGTCTTAAGAAAGTATTATTATTTTTGAAGAAATTTTTGAAAAACGGCCTGCTTCTGCTAAGGTGACAGATGGCCCCACCTGTCACCCCCAGGCCTGCGCTTATGGAGGACGGAGGTCGTTCTGCGACCTCCGGCGCCTGAGTCACCTGTGGTACCTGGCCCGTTCCCGGGCCTGGCGGGCCGGGAGAGTCCTAAACCTCTGTCGGTCCCGCTCCGCCGTCTCCTTCGCGAGCATAACTTGCTTGCAGAAGGAGACGGCAGAGTTCCACGCACTCTCGCTCCGCACGATAGGCGCAATCAGGCTATCGAGCGAGAGAACTCCCACTCGATAGCCTGATTGCGCCGCCACGAGGTCTCGCCTCTGCTCAACCCACGCCGGGCACTCTGCCAGCGTGTGGAGAGCCGTGTCCACGGTCTGGCCATCGCAGTGGTGGCACTCAGGCGTTGGCTCCTTGCGGATCAGATACAGGTGATCCCCGAAACATCCTTTCCCAGTGATCACCTGCGTAAGTCGGTATGAGAGGGTCCCGTGACGCCTCTCGAGCCAATCCTCCATAACGGGTCTTACCGCCGCGAACAGGTCACACACCTAGCTCAGGCCGATTTGTAATATTTTCATTTTACTTTTTTCTCTTCATTCTTGCACATTTTACAATAGTCATATACTAGTTTTATGTAGGCTTTAGTAACAAGCTTTATATAAGAATCTAATGAAAATAACATGAAAATCATGAACAAAATGTAACCAAGACCGTATTCTTTTTCTGCATCTTTTTTTAAATATGGCGAACAAAAGCATATGCAATATACTAAATGATTACAGAACCTTACAGAAATTTAAATTTATTAAATAATTCTAGAGACTCCTTGCAGGAGTAAGTACTAAAGCATATTTTGCCTACATGTTTTTTCTGTCGCATCAACTAGTTGCGACGAATATGTGAATTAGTGACATCAGTGTGAGATCTGAAACCAATTTCAACTTTAACAATTTTTTATTTTATTTTTTATAATAATAATTATAGTTTTATTTCAACCAAATTACAAAAAACCTTAACATCATTTTCTTAACATCAAGTGAGCCTCCATATTTTTTTTTTATCTAAACCTTTTTCATGAATTACACCGTGTATTGAAAAAAAACAGCATTAAAATTTATTTAGTTGTTTTCGAGGTTAAAGCGAACAGACAGACTAGTGATGATGTGCTATAAAGTTAAATATTATTTAAAATTTACATAAAACGAGGTTCAGTATACGACTGATGTGTCAACGGTACAAATTTTTATACAATGACAGTTTGAGTTTCACTGGGCAACAAATAAAATACGTCAATTACAACGATTGGATTTCGATCGCCACTCGATTTCTAAATTACTAATAATATACGTTAAATGTACAAAAACCAGAGATAGTGTCTATTTGCAAGAGAAAATTGGGCAACATTTTCCCATTCATCTTTTCAGCTGACATACCGCTTAAAAATAATGATTGCGAGGGGCGGCTCCCTAACTGAAAGCGAAGAAATAATTATTCTTGTGATTTAGAATTAATTGATATACTTTATATCCAGTAAGTATAAATAGGTAAAATTCTGCTGAACAAAATTTTGTCTAAGGAGTGTGTGCATGAAGCTCCCTTAAAATAATCATAGCGTTGACTAGGGTCTGTGAGAAGTTTATAAACTGTGGGGTTCTTATTTTTATTTTATGTTATTTATTTTGGATCGCCAATAAATGATACACATATCTATGTACAAAAATACAAAAACATGCTGTGTTCTCAGTTAATTTTAGGCAATCACAACTAACACAAGTAAAAATTGTACCATTCTAAATGAAAAAAAAAGTCTTATGTTATAGTAACTTTGAGCTGAGACTGAAACTAAGTTTGTGTAAATTGTTGTAAATGCCGAACTATGAACATGGCAGGAGTTCCTACGAAGTTGCTAGTTATATAGCGTAGCGTATATGGCGTGTTGCATTTACATCAGTGGCAGCAACACTTCCAGCGGTTGGGCTACTTATATTTCTGGCCATAGCTATTAGTGCTGCATATCACATAAGATGTTACTACAGAGGATGTCACATTTCACGGCACTGTTCTTTTATTCATATTTTACGATGCGTTTTTTTCGAGTAGAAGATTTAAGTTTGTCTTTTAGAATTTAACTAAGGCTTTTAAGTGTTTGCCATTATACTTAGTCAGCGATAATTCAAGTTCAATGTAACTGTGGTAGTTAATTAACTTTGATATAAGAGAACTTGGTACGTGACAAGTTTTGTATATAAATTTAATTCACAAGACATCTAGACGCAAGAGTAATATTTTACAAAGTTGGACGCAGTACTGTGTGTTATATACTGTGTTGTGTTTACTGTTCCTAACTTTTTTTTAATCTTTTGTTATTCTTGGAGGGGGAAGGGGGACTCAAAGGGCACCAACGTCTGCACCACCTGCACCTCTTGTGTTGCAGGTGTCCATGGATGGCGGTAGTTTCCTATTATTAGGTGACATATAAGCTCGTTTGCCTATACTATAAAAAAAGACTTAATGAAAGCTTAATGAAACTTTATGCTACACATTTTTTTACCAATGCAGTAAACTATCAAATAGTTTTCATATTATCTCTCGTTAGATTTTACCATCTAAATCACATATAAGGGTTATATTCTAACTCTGATTTCTTTTAGGAGGTTGTTCAAGTTTTTAATTTTTTGTTTCACACACGCTTCTGTAAATAGGAGTAACAGACTTCCTTTCTAGAGTGCAACTAACGATGGCAAGGTTGTAAAAAGTAAAGACCCACTGTGGCAACTTTTAAGCATACCTCTTTCCACTGTTGCACAATTAATGTGTTTTTTTTAAACAGTTCATAAAGCACACTGTTTTATTTTTCATATTTTTTGTTATACATAATTTAATGAACTAAAATCATAAAAAGCACAAAAAGGGACACCTTTGACACAATTCCGATTATAAAAAATGCTTATAAACACAGATGGCTCGAAGTAACAAAATTTAAATAGTATTTTTGCTTTAGTTATGTTGTTTAACTATCTTGTCTAACAATATGGCTAGGACTCACAAAAGCAGAAGCTATTAAACGTCATAAATACAAGTAAACTGTACGTCACTCCGCAAAGCGAGGTTGAATAATCCATTTCAGTAAATGTGGCTGAAACCAAAGCGTAGAGTACGGTTAGAAATAAATTTAGTATGTTTGTTTGGGTCATAAAAAGATAAAGCTTACTACAACGTTCATTATAAAAATTAATTTACTTTTTTCCCCTAATAGCGTCCGTCAATCAATCGTATCACGGCCGTGAAGAAGTTGTATATAGCTTATAATTTTAAATTTTGGTTCATTAATTAGCTTGTCAGGTCAATCAAGTATTAAAACACTTAGATAAACAGTCGTATATTTTTACTCATTAATATTTTTATTAAAACCTGCAACTAAGCTGAATCCTGGTTAGATTACTGGTTAGTGATACGATATAGGTAAGGGACTGACTGTAGAAAAACAAGTGGTCATTGCTCACAACTAATAAAAACAAGTGCCAATCATTTTCATACTTGCGTATATACATTGACCGATAATATACCTGGGTTAAACAACTATAACTATATATTAACCATATACTATGAAAACATCAAACATAATTCGATGTGAATTACATTGGTATTAATTACATTACTTTGCATTTTAAAAAGGCCAAAACAGCAAGTTATAAATGCGGGAGTCACTTACATGTATCTTTTTACGTCTTCATATTAATAAATTACACAAAACAGAAAGCGCAAGATACGTATTAATTAGCAACTAAAATATTAAAATACTGGGAACATGTCTGAGTAGGTACTAATGTTAATTTAGCACTCACATTAATTCTGAGTTAGTAGCAACTGATGTATGAGCACAACCTACCTGCCTCAAGAATTTGATTGGAAGAGCTTCGGATAATAGCTCTATTAAACAAATTCTCAATGCATTATTTTCGATTGAAGTCTTCTTAACAAGACTAGTATTTTCATGTCTCATTGGGGTTGAACTTGTCTTCTCTTGATATAAAACTTTAAAAACAATGGTAATGGAAAACCCATTTCAAAGAAGAGAACCCATTTTACCGGTTAGCTGTTGGCTGTACTTGGTTACTGTAGTTTGGTTTCAAAAATATACACAATAAGTTTGCGTATCCAAAAACGACATCATATTACAATAACTTTATTAAGGTTTATTAAGATTATTAACAGATTAATCGATTTATCGATTTTAAACGTTAAAACTTTTCTAAATACTTAATGCTATAATCTTCACCGTAAAAAAAGAAATATGACGATGCAATAAAATTGGCGGTTGTGTGATAAATGAGTGGGGTGTGCGAGTGAAACCACAATAGCTGTCACGTAGTTACAAACTCATAACCAGCGAGTCCAATTTATGGCAGATATTATTTCGTCGAGAAGTAACATACACACGTCATTGATTTCTATTTTGTCACTCAAAATATATCATGTGTGAAAATGAAGGGGTCTTAACTCGCCAAAAGTACAAACATTCAAGGTATAGGTAATTGATCCTTTTGTGAACCAACGTTTATAATAACCTTGGAAAAACTAAAAAATAAACACCGATACACACGTGTATGTATAAGTTATGTAAATTACTTGAATTGTTACAAAAACAAAACATTTAAAGACAAATTTTCTATCCAAAGGACAGAAACGAAAGAAACAGTTTATAGTTACGAATATAAACTGAGAACTAAAGCGATATAATTAAAAACTAATACACGCAATTCTATCTTCCTAAGTAAAGTTAAACAAAATTATAAACGCGATGATGCGTGATTTCCTTTTTGGATTTATTACATCGCTATGTAGATTACATACAGCTTTTTTTTATTTGTACTTTAAGTTTTGTAATACGTTTAATATACATAGTTGCATGCATGTTCAGGGTTCCGTTACTCAATGGGAAAAAAAGAAACTCTTATAGGATCACTTCACTGTCCGTCTGCCTGTCTAGATCATTGTTAAAATTAACATCAAATACTAATACATGGCTTTTTAAATTCCATGGTTTCAAAGTTTTTTTTTTTTATATTTGGGACATCTAACCCACAATGCCATCTAGTTTCAAACTAAGCAGAGCTTGTACTATGAAAGCTAGATTGACTGATAGAATACTTATTTACTTAATTTTTTTGTAAATACATACATAGAAAACACCCAAACTCCGAAACAAATATTTACAGATCATACAAACATTTGGTCTGACCTGGGAATCGAATCCGAGACCTCAGCAGAGCACCAACACCAACATTCAAAGAATTTGAACTATTTCTAATTAACTTTTTTCTATTTACTCTTGCGCATTTGAGAATAGCCATTTACTAGTTTTATGTTAGCTTTAGTAATAGGTTTAATATAAGAATCTAATGACAACATGATGTAAATCATATACAAAATGTAACCAAGACCTTATTCTTATTCTGCAATTAATTTTTCTTTATTTTATTTAGGACTTTACTAGTATTTATTATAGCTATAAAAATTAAGTTTTGATATCATTATGCGTAAATAAATTTATTATTTAGATTGTTATGCTAAAACATTTACAAGTTATAATAAAAAAAAAATGTGCCAAAGCTGTTATGCTTAAATATAATTAGGAGAAAGAAAATCATACCGTTTTATTATTATGTGTTAAAATTTGATGCGAATAGATAGTGAACTGTCTTAGGGCCTACATACCATGCGTCCATGCATCTATACAAACTCGTTAAAAATGAGGCCGAAGACATCTGAACTAAATAGAACTATATTAAATGAAATTTTTACGAAACGTTTACTGTGATAACTCAGAATGATATGCTGCTACTACGATGTCGATGTCTTAGTGTATTAAAATACAATCAGTTGAAATGGGAATGACTACAAAGAAAAATATAAGATTGCGTTGTAAATATTATATTTACATCATTTTTTTTGTATTTACCGAAGAGAACGGATTCCTAATGTGAAATATTTTAAATGAATTTTTTTGTTTGTAAAAGCCATACTTATATTGTAAATGTGAAATTGAGTTTGTTAGTTAGTTTATTTGTTGCCGCCTAAACCACTAAACCGATTTTAAAAATTCTTTCACCAATGGAAAGCTACATTATCGGCGAGTAACATAGCCTACTTTTTGCCGCGATAACTGATATAAATATACGCGGGCGTAGCCGCGGGCAAAAGCTAGTAATTAATAAACATTTAAAGCCTTTTTACTTTTAAAGTTATACGATCCTACGACAGGTTTATAACTATCGTGTTCCTTAATATATAATTATGTTCACGGAAAGTAACGCACTCAGTATAGATATTAATTACATACCTTTGAATTGCCTGATATTTAGACACGGTTAACCTGGCCGGGGTGATGGGCTGAGGGGGTTTCCATACGTAAAAAAATAATGGAAAAAAAATAGGTCTTGGTCACAGGCTGGTTAACAGATTCAGTGGTGAGCGCCTTCTGCCGATGAGTCCGTGATATACAAGTTTCTTCAGCCTGAATATTGAAGGTGGACAGCGGAGGACGTACATTTAATACTTTCGTGAGCGCGTTAATGCTCGTAGAATTTTTCTTTAAATTATAATAATATTCTTTTTTTTATTTATTTACGCTTTATGCACAAAAATGTCCAGTGGTGGACTTAATGCCATGGGCATTCTTTACCAGTCTACCTTAGAGTGGTGTAGAAATGAGGCTAATCTAGGTGCACTATACTGAAGTGTAGTTTCTTAAAATTATTGATAAATATGTAACAAAAACTCTTTTCTTTTTTAGTACTTACACACAGATTTTGTGATCATAACTTCATTTTTTCCAGCTCTAAACAGAATTATATACATGTGTGTTTTGATCAATGCGGTTTCTAAAAAATTAGATATCTGTATTATGCCCTCGCAAAATGGCTATTACATTTGAAATATTACGGTTGTATAGTGAAGTAACAGGATACATACATTTAGGTGTCGTAAAATTCTGTAGATAGTAGTGAATTTCTTGCGAACATATCTTCCATTTACGGTGATGCATCCATTACTATTCATAAAGTTTCAAATTGCCTCATAAAACGGTGAAGTTCCCTCAGGATATTATTTGTTATAATTGATACTAATTATGTCTTAGTATTTTTATGATTCAGGTATAACATGTTACAATACATTGCGGAAAGTCGCTATACAAGGACATAAACACAGTACACAGTTAACAAAAAAATCGAATAGTATGTTATAAAAATAATTAAGGTGGCGTTACTTGAAACAAAAATATTTATTGTTGAAAAATTTATTTTTATTCTTGACAAGTCAGTTTCGGAAAGAAGGTTTTTGGTGACCTTTTGTTTTGAGAGGTTGTAGTTAAAAAGATATCCATGATGCCAATAAGTGAGTGTTCGTGTATCTAATATACTCGTATTAGTCGTAACTAAAAGTAAATGATCTATTAGTTTAATGAACTATTTCAAATTTAAGTTAAAGTCTATGCAAATTCAAGTATGTACTGACATTAAAATATTTTTTTAGAAAATATTTACTGTTTTATTGTTTTTAATTTCAAAAAAAACAAATAAAAATGTTTTTATTTTCGAAAAACTAAAAGTAACAAGCGGAAATGGAAAAATAGATGTTTAAAATTGACTTAAACTGACTAATCGTAGGCCCGTTTGTTAATTTAATAAAACATTCGTAATAACACCTTTAACCGACAATCAATCAATCTTATTTACCCACACTGTTTTATCTTAGATAGATAGATAGAACTCTTTATTTGTACACCATTTTACAAGAAGCATGATAGTTACATGAAAGTGTTAGATATACAATGTATAAAGGGCGGCCTTATTGCTAAGAGCAATCTATTCCAGGTAACCTTAGGATGGATCAAAATGGTCGGGCGAGATAGTAGTAGTTGATGGTGAAATGAGTTTTTTAGGTTTATTACTAACGAATATAAAAGAGATAATAACTACATATATATAATATAAGAAATATACACCCATATATATATATATATATATATATATATATATATAAAAATACACATACATATTTATATTCATAAAAACAAATACTTATCTTATTTGTGATTGCTGATAAAAATTTAAAACGTGCAATTCGAACCAACACAAACAACGTTTGAGCAATACAGAAAATATTATAAAATAAAACGCGCTCTCAGTTGTAGCATGAAAAAAATATATTTGTTAAAAAAAAATTCCTTTTCAGATCTTTTTTTAATACGATACAAAAGATTAAGCTTAACGGAAATATATATATATCATCATCAACCGCCTTTAATAGTCCACTGCTGGACATAGGCCTCCCCTTAGAAAGGAATATATATATATTTAATTCTTTTTAAATAAAAAGTAAATTAAGGTCATCGATAACCACTAAAATCGTTTCTGATACTGAGAAGAACACATCGAAACTATAAGGGTTCCTTGTTGACTACAGAAGTCTAAAAAGGCACTAAACTTCTTTATCTCTTTTTGAAATTTTTATTGATATCAGTAAGGCTTCTATTAACATTCTATACTTCTACTGTAATGTTGACTGGTAAAAAAAAATCAAGGCCTTACAAGTAATTGATTTAACCGAAGTCACTGCTACCTTAATAGGGCTTTTAGGCGAAGTATTACCATAAGACACTTGATATAAACAATAAAGAGACAAAAAGAATTATCATAACTGTGTCCAATCAAATGATTTAACAGTTTGGGATTCCACTATTGAGGTAAATTATTTTAAAATTAATAAACAATGGGTATAAATATAAACAATAAATTACATGTATATGCTATAGAGTTAAATAAGGAATGACATATATTTATGTACTGTCTTTATAAGCGAACGTAACATGGTTCAATTCTAAAGATTACGCCTCAAATATTCCAGTGGCATACATCTCTTAAGATAGGTTTATGTTCCCTATCAATAGAGCATCATCTTTCTTTATAGCTAGTAATAATAAACATAAATCAATAAAAAAATAACTTATTTATTGATGCAGTATCTAAAAAAATATCACAAGCTTGTTGTCGTGACCCACCTAAATATTTACAATATGATTTCACCTTTTTAACTTCCGAGTGTGTGAGTTACGTTTTTGTTAATAGAATATGGTAGTATTATTTACATAATAAAAACCTCTGTGTGATGTAAATGTGATTAATTGATGTGTAAAAGAATTACTATTTAAAAAAATCTCCGCTATTTTAAAACTTTAATTTTGTAGTTTAAACAACCGGGTTCAACGTTCATTACAAAGTCTATGTGTTTGAGGCGAAAAAGAAGAAAACATCAATGTATTAAAATTTTATGAAACGATCCAAAAAACGGGGTTAAGTAAAATCTTCTAATCTAATTCAATTTAAAAAATACTATGGGTTAATAATATCTAACGATTCATTTGTTGTTAAGCAAGTTTAATCTTTAAACTAAACGTCTCGCCTGTCAAAGTACGTGCGTAGCATTTTAAGTAGCAAGTAAGAACAAAAATTTAAGTCGTATAATTAATTTTAAGACTTAATACTGGCAGCGTATGTTTTCACCTAAACATGTTTCAAGTAATTCTAGCTCAATAAACATTTTTGAAGTTTGAAGTACATTTTCATGTTTCACGTCCCAATTTGCGATTTGTTGGTTGGTTGTACTCACAAGTGAAAGCTCGGAGATATTTGCTAAAGAAGGTCACACATATGAGGCTATTATTACATGTACAAGTTGCTGAGATCATTTAATTTTGTATTTACACAATCAATTTTGAAATATTTCATACCCTGTTTTAATTAATTAATAGTTACTACGAACCGGCCTGCAAAGTTACCAACGTGAAGAAAATCTAACAAGGATTAATATTCATCGTAACTTTTTATAATTTTAATTTATTTTATGAACGTATAAACTTTATTGTGTTAAATATTATAAAATAACGTACAGTCGTACAAATTTAATTGATAATCTAAGAAAAGTAAGAACTACTTAAACTTCTTTGTCGCTACATTTTTGAAATCACCGGTATATATTATATATAACTTAAATTATTAAAGAGGAAAGATATCAAAGTTAAACATTAACAATTATAGTTTAAAAGAAATAAAATAGAAATCGTGAATTTGTTTAGTTTCATTTAAGAGTCATATAATTCTTACCATTTTATGGCATATTTCGTAAATTCAAAAAATAACAAATTTAGAATTTTCATTTATCAATATCTTAAATCTTTTATATACTTACACTGGGTCACTCGTAATATTCTTTTCAAAATTTGCTAAAGCTTACTATCATTTTTATTTATCTTCTTCACATAAACAACTATTAGTAATCATTTTCCTTTAAATAAAAAAAAACAAATTGACACTGCACAAGCGATTTACCGAAAAAGCTTAATATTAAAGTTTAATGTTAAAGCCGGCCGTATAAATTTGATGGTGTCAAGGCGAGCGCGAGCGAGCAGAAATCTGCGGGGGAGCGGCGTTACGCGCAGGCGGCGGGCGTCGGCGCCACCTGTCGCTGTCGGCGCGGCGGACGCAGCGCTGCCGGGGAGCGGCACGACGACGGCGGCTCGGCGGCTAACTAGCGACTGAGCGCCGCGCGCCCGGGCACGTGGCGCGCCGGGCGCCGGCCGCCGCCCAGGTGCACCTGCACCGCCCCGCGCGCGCGCAAACCAACACCCGCCCGGGCCCCGCACACGCACTCAATGCTCGCTCCGTCTGCACCCGGTTGCACTCTGCCTGCAAGCTTACCACCAAATATATTACTAGGTACAATACATGCCGGTACTATCACACCTTACCTTACACAGCTTACGGAAAGAGTCTCGTAACCGGCATGCGTATCACGTAAACACTGTTAAAATATGTAACACTTTCAAAGATAGAGGCAGAGAGAATGGAATGAACATGTACGCTGTCTATGAATCATACAAAAAACAATACGTGAAATTTAAATGAATTAATTATAACGACGAGTACTTTTCAACGGGGTCTACGACGTAGCGTCGATTTGCTACGGCGTAACCGATTGTTTCTCAATTGAAGTATCGCTTCTAAATAGGTGCACAGGTTTCCATAATGGAGAAAAGACACTTTTATCAAAAGGTTATGTACTCGTATATTTTGTGGTCGCTAAAAGATTGTAAAGTAAGTTAACATAGTAACTTCCAGTAATTCCATATTGATCGCAAGGAATTGAAGACAAAATTGCAAGATTTTTTTTCTTTGTGTATATAAAACCTAAGTAAATAAGTATGAATGAGAGATATATGATTTGCTTGATTCTTATTTTATCTTTATATTTTTCGTTATTTTTAATATAAATGTATTTTTGTTATGTGTACAGTTTTGTGCTTTTCCAATTTTCTTTAAAAAGCTAACAACTTCAGAGCGGGTTTCAATTCACAGAATTCCATTTATTTGAATGTTAGAAAGTAGGTTACTACTCATTGCCAGATTTATTAAATTCATCTTTAAAATTTAAAAACACTAAATCATTCTGTTTGTTTTGTAATATGTGAGTTGTGTGAGATATACGTCTATTGTAATATATTATTATTATACATAAACACAATGATGCACTGGCAAAATTACTAATTTGTTATACTGAACGTGTTACTGGGTTGTTATTTTATTAAAGCGAGATTTATTTGATCTTATTACAAAGAAGAGATGAGATTTATTTCGCTGATGTAACCTCGGATCCCTCACGGTCTAGGAATAAAGGTTGCGAGCTAACCGTTAACTTGCAAAGATTACTTGAAAGTACGTGATCGGAAAATACAAAAGTTTTCACTTTTGCCGCGAGCATATGTCCTCGTAAGAAACATGCCAAAGTTATAAAACCATTTAGCTCTTACGGATAGTGCCATTCATCAATCGAGGATTGTTACAGGTCAAGAGAGCCTATGTCCTAACAGTCAGGCGGCACCTATTGATCTAGCTCGAGGGCTGCTCTGTCAGTAGTCTCGAACTCGTGAGCTGTTTAAGGCCTACAACTTATTAAGATTCAAATTACTTTTCGAACATATTTATTTGGTTTTATTCTGGAATAGAATTCAATATTTTTCGAATGTACGAGAGTATTATTTTTGCTGTCGGCGGGCCACCAGTATTCGACCGGCGGGCCGTGGTCTGTGCATCTCTGCTTTATAGTATAGTCCATCTAAAGGTTGCCTGGAAGAGATCGCAGGCTGCGATAAGGCCGCCCATTGTATCACTGTTTTTTTTCTGTATGTATCATCGCATGTATCCTATTTATGGTGTGCAATAAAGAGTACCTACCTATCTAACCTATCTATCTTATTACGACAAACATATTGATCATACTGTGGGATAACAGTATCCTTCTTTTTGAAGGTTTTAATTGCAGCATATAGTCGTTAACATGAAAAAGAGAACAAACTATTCATTATTGTACTATCAAACTCATAAATCCTAAGCCAACCAGAAAGACAACTAGATCAGCTTTGACACTAATCTATGGATAGGAAATTGGCGTTATTGAAATTCGTTATAGAAATGTGGCTCAGATTGACTAAGACCCTTATTAATTTTGTTATTGTCTAGGATCACTGACGTGAGAGAGAGACTTAGTAGAGCTGGCAGCTTACTAGTGACACTTCTGATATCCACCTATAACCACTTACCCGCAGCCTTACTACTAGTATGTGTTTGACTACTGTCAACTTAGTTGAATTTAAACAAAAAAATACATTGAACATATCAAAATAACTCCGCGTTGTTTTATTTCCCTGAACTTTTCTTTAATGAAGTTCTCTTCGTACGGTATTTTTGTCGTAATGCCTTTATTGTCTTTCCTCTTAGTCTGCAAGTAGTATAAATAGTAGGTAACGCATTTTAAACACTTTTAGCTTAAAAAGTAATTAAAAAATTCTAAAAAAAATAGATGTCAATTTTAAGTTATACTTTATACTACTTATATATTATATATATATATACGTTATACTTTTTAATTTTTGACGAAGCCAGCAGTTTGTAATGATTTGTTGATGAATTCAGAATTAAAAATGAATTCCTTTTCAACTTGGATTTTTTTTACTTTTAAATTCGATTTACCATCAAGGATAACTACATTCTTGATCTGTCTGTCAAAATACCTTTTCTCGGGAACACACACAAAGTTGTCCTTTGCGCTTGGCAAACTGGCTGTAATGTATATAAATGTGTGGGTGATTATTTTTAGAATGGAAAATTAGGTTTGTAACTTGAAAAAAAACGAACAAAAATATTCGAGAATTGATTCATGATGGATGTTCACATAAATCTACACACAAGTTTGCACTGAACTGTTGGTACACGAGTCGCACTTTTTAAGGATAATAATTATAAGCTTGCAGGAATGGCAACACGTATACCACGTGGATGGCACTTTTGTGTAATAGAACATATTTTCAGAAAATAAGAGAAAAAGTATCTGTTGAATCATGCATTCAACAAGTGCTCAAGGACATCGGCAGCGAGAGAGAAAGAGACGATGAGATGTCCCCGGACACGACGCGATGCGCGCACGCCGGCACAAGCACGGCACTCAGCTGATCGACGCGAATAGATACATACCCGCTCGTTGTCCTTATATATTTTTCATATTTTTATGTTCTTTTCCCGACAACGACAACCCTGTACTTAACCAGTGTTTTAAATAATTATTTATACAGTAAACTCTCGTTTTATTCCGCCTAACACCACAGCAATCATATCAACAGTATCAGTAGAAGGCAGACGGAGATAAATAACGTTAATGATGTTCATGTGATAGTGTAAAGTTTATAGAAGAGTTATTTGGCACTGTTCAAAGTAAATTTTAATTAAGTTTGTTAGATGCTAACCTCTTTAACTTTAAGATCTTAAAAAAATTAATAACACATAATTATTTGCTCAGATATTTGCATTATTTTCTTAAATTAAGTTTTTATTCTGTGCCTTTGTAGGACAAAAAATGACAAAAATATTCATCTTTTGGTCCAATTATCTTAGTGTAAAAAATTACTCTTAGCAATCCATACTTTTTTAATTTAGACAGAAATATTAATACCACAGTTTTTCAATACTTGTGCTAACTTATTTCTAATAGCGGTCGTTGATCATTATTTATTAATGTAGCAAGTTCTATTAATATTAAAATTAATTGAGAACTTTACCGTAGAAATAAAGTCTGTACTCCTTTGTGTCACAGCCGATAATTTTTCTTTACTGTATCAGATTTGTCAAAACCGCTCTCATTCATGCCGGAAAAAAGGTTTATTTTCGTTTGGATTTATAGGCTTTGAATCTAGACAACGCTAGTAAATAATTCTCACATTTATTTCACATGCTCTCTTGACACACTGTTTCTATTTGGTAAATCAAAATATTTTTGATAAATTGGTCCATTGACATGAAAAATTGAGCTTGGTAGGATTGAAATAGGGTTTTTGTAATGAAAATTCTTTTGAATAGTCATAATATATATATTATGACTATTCAAAAGAATTTAGAACGGAGAATAAGGTATGTTTGCAGCGTTGTACTATCTCTACATTTTGTAGTACACACACTGATTATATTTCCAATTTGACATAAAAAATTGAGTTTGGTAGAGAGACTTAGAGATAAGGTTTTTGCAATGAAAAGTTATTTTAAATAATCATAACATATAAGCTGTTAGAACAGAGTGTGAGGTATATTCATAGTGTTGTACTATTCCTACTTTTTGTGTTAGAATGATACCTCATATTCTTCTATGTACCCTTGATATCGTGTAACTAAAATTTAATGATGATCGGATGAATAGTTTAACTGTGAAAGATTAACAAACAAGCAATTAAATTAAATCAAATTCTTTTAGCATTAACAGTATTAGTTAATATAAGTGTAATTAAAACGCTTAAAATATCATATGAATTTTTTACTCGTTTCAGACCTTGTAGAAGATTTTTGAATGTCATAAATTTATTGTGAAGAAACGAGTTTGTTTCTTTCTTATCTAGTCAATTGACCATCATTAACTTATAATTACAAGTCATTGGGAGTATAGTAAAAACATAGGACTTTCATATGGATCATCTACTGTGTTAAGTAGTGGAACACCAGACTAGCAAAACCCCGGCAAGTCCGCGTCATCCACGTCCTAGTCGTCCTCCCTTGGACCTGCTGCAACCACGCTCAAGCGTGTCCACTGCCTCGAGTTGCAGCTGAGCTTAGGATGCAGGGCAAAGGGCGAATATTATGCACCTCAAAACCGCCCCGCCGCCGGGCTTGGGCACAGTGAGGACAAGGACGTTGAGCGCGTCCACAATTTTACCTACCTTGGAAACAGGGGGTACAGAGAAGAACATTACCTCACGCATTGCCAAGGCCCGAGCTGCCTTTCAACAACTCCGGCCCGCGTGGCAGGAACGAATACTGACTGACTGAAAATCAAGGTTTTGGGGTCCAACGTAAAATCGGTACTGCTATATGGGTGCGAAACGTGGAAGGCCCCAAAAGCCATCTTGAACCGGCTCCAGGTCTTTGTTAACCGCTGCCTTCGCCGAATTCTTGGGGTATACTGGCCCGAGAAGATCTCCAATAAAGATCTTTTGGAACGCTGCCACAAATCACAGATCGAATTCCAGATCAAGCGCCTCAAGTGGAACTGGATTGGCCGCACTCTGCGTAGAGACACCGAACATATCGCCAAACAGGCACTGGATTGCAACCCGCAAGGAAAACGAAAGCGGCAACCCAAAACAAACTTGGCGGCGCAATGTCGCAGATAGGGAACCGGCAAGACGTGGAGTGAGGTCAAATGCGAGGCTCGGGACCGAACACGATGGAGGCCTACTGTAGACGCTCTTTGCCCCAACTCGGGGACTTAGGATATTAAGTCATTAATTTTCTTTTAAAAATAGAATGGTTATTTTTATTTTCTATTTTCAGCCTCAGTATTTATTAATATATGTATTGTACTTAGTATATATGTAAGGTATTTCTTGTCTTGGGTTTGATTCCTGAAGCTACAATGACTCTTCAAGAGTTTCAGTCAAATCAAATCTCTCTCTCTCTCCCTTTCTCTTTCTCTCTGCCTATATGTCAGGAGATTGCTTTTTGCAAAGGTTGCTTATTATAACTATATCAAAACTAATTTGTTTGTTATGTTAATACTGCCAAACGAGAAGAATTAAATGAATAGTCTAATAAAAATTTTGTGCAAACTGAATCCCTGCGGTTAGCATCACAGGCTAAAGTTAAAAGTCTCCTGACTGAAAGATCTAAGCTTATTACACACTTGACTGTCGGGGATTCTAGAAATAGATTTAATCGTATGAATAGGGCCTTACTCCAGAAGTTTTATATTTTAAGACTGTATAATAAAATGTAGTAAAATGTAAAGGACCCCCAAAATCTGTTGTCAGCCTTAAAAACAGCAAGTTGTAAGTAATTATTAAATTATTAGAAGAATATAGCTTGGAGATATTTAAAGCTGAAACTGCAAAATAATTTTGACTAATTATTGATGAAGTTTTGCGTGTCCCGCAAAACTTCATCTTTAAATTTGCTGTTTGGACCATTATTATTTATAACATTTAAAATTTTCATCTTCGTCAAATGACACTTGTAGTTTAATATAAACATACGCTTTTTCCAAATATTTTTCAATAAAAGGTCATACGACATTTGCGAACTTTCTACTTCACCTATCACTGGTTTTCCACACTACTTGGCCTACCTATTACTAATTAAATTATTAAATGGTAAAAGTTTCTACCTTCTTACTTCTTCAAATGGTAAGAGGGGCTTATAACCAAGTATTAACTGAGTAGGTTAACGCATTGCACAGTTAAGAAATCATAGCTCGGTCTGTCTATGAATGGGTGACAATAATTAACATCATCAAAATTAATAACAGATATACCACAGGAGTAGAACAAACAGCAGAATATCTTTTAGACTCACTCGTACCTGACGATCGACCGGAAAACGACACTGATCATCACCGACAGATCAGGCAGTGGGCTATCGAACCACCACTATCTCCAATGTCTGATTTACCATCTTCAGACGAATTTCTCGGTATCATTAGATCCTTGCCGCTAAACAAGGCTTCGGGCGATGATAAAATATCTAACAAAATTATAAAAGAAGCTTGTAAACTTTCGGGTGACACGATTTTCACTGTCTTTAAACGTTGCATTGCTGAAGGAATATTTCCTCGTATATGGCGGTGCGGTAATATTCGTATAATACCAAAAAGTGGCGACAAGCCACCGGATGATCCTAAATCCTACCGACCAATAACATTGTTACCATCGTTAGGAAAGCTTTTAGAACGTCTTGTAGTGCCCCGGCTTCTGCCAGGTGGAGTCAAGTTTCATGATAGACAATTTGGATTTGGATTTACGTTGGGTAAATCGACAACTGACGCTGTTATATCGGTTAGAAAGTTTGTCACAGGGTCAAAATTTCAATACGTGTTGGCTATTTTCTTAGATATATCTGGCGCCTTCGACAACGCATGGTGGCCCATGCTGTTGCTGAAATTAAAATCACGGGGGTGCTTTAAAAATATTTATTCCCTTATCTCTTCATACTTTTCACAAGGTACAACTAAACTAAGACTTGGTCATCATTCTGTGTCGAAGGCGCTTACAATTTTCTTGCGATACCAATACCATCCGGATGTACTCTGAACGCGTATGCTGATGACGGCTTATTACTGGTGGAATCTGATACTAGGGCTTGGCTTGAGAGATTAGCCAATAGATGTTTGAACTTGATATCTCAATGGGGTGAACGTAATCGCTTAACTTTTGCACCCAACAAAACCTTCCAGCTACTTTTAAAAGGTAACCTCAAATCACCGCCGAGCATTAGATTTGACAATGTTACTGTAAAAAATAAAACCGCAGTGTGTTATCTAGGATTAGTTTTAGAAAGAAACTTTTCATTTATCGAACATATTAAAATAGTTAATGAAAAGTCTAAAAAGAGTTTCTGTGCATTGACAAGGATATCAACTGCGACATGGGGTCTATCATTTAATACATTAAAGATCATATACGGAGCTACTTATTTAGGTTCTATGTGCTATGGTGCACCTGTATGGGCCGATAGGGCGACCGTAGGCGCTGTCCATCGCAAACTGTTACAAGGCCAACGACTTGCACTGATATTCTTGTGTAAGGCATATAGGACGGTTAGCACTGAGGCTTTGCCGGTGTTGGCGGGTGTGCTTCCGGTCGATCTCGAGGTGCAGAGACGTGCAGCCATGTACTATTCAAGACAACAAAACATGGAATGCGATTTTTTGGGCGCGCGGGATCGCGGTAAAATTACAAGATTGCTTCAACAGCAGCCCGATGTCTGTAATGACCTCATAGACGAATGGCAACAACGCTGGGATGAATCATCCAAGGGGCGCCATCTTTACCAATTCTTTCCATCTGTTTGCGAACGGTTGTCGAGGATATGGCTTGAGGTGGATCACTGTGTCGCTCAATTTCTTACGGGTCATGGTAACTTTAAGAGCAAGCTTTATTCATTTAAATTAGTCGAGTCACCATTGTGTCAATGCTCAACACCTAACTCTCACTATGAACAGTCTGCTCATCATATTCTCTGGGAATGTAGTCTTTGGTATAATGAACGTAATATAATGCTGAATAGCTTGCAGGTGACATCTGGGGCGGTATACTATGGGGATCTTGTGTCAACTAGGGTGAATTTTTAGGGGTTTAGGCGATTCTGCCATACATATTATAGAAATCAAACATAGCTCACGTAGGACCCGTAATATTTGTGGCCGTGGTGCTTGCCCTGTTTAAAAGGGTGTATGCCCATTTTACTTCATTTTGTCTCCCGCTTTGCTAAGGAGGGAAGTGGATTTACTGTATTTCCAACTCCTCCAATTTTCTTCTGATTAATTTCGTTGCGGGTTCCAAGACAGTTTAATTTCTTCCTGGGACTTCCCGAGTGTCATAACTCGGTGTGTTCGTGGGTCACTGCTGTGGATCCTGGTGTACAGGAGTTACAGTGGTGGGCGTGTGGGTGGGATTAGCCCCAATAAAAAAAAAAAAAAAAAAAAAATTAACACTTTCAGACCCCTCCGTGCCTCGAAGAGCACGTTAAGCCGTCGGTTCCGGTGGTGACACGAACATCTGTGGCAATCGTTACTGGTAGTTAGAGCACTAAAAAGTTCGATAACACTCTTTATACTGAACTTCAATATCGCCTAGTACTTGCGTTGTGGAGGTCGGATGGCAGTCGCTTGTATGGCAGTATCGTAGTAGACTTAAGGCCGACCCAAACTTAGTTTGGGAAAAAAGCTCAGAGGAGGGTAAGAGTTTCTACCAGGTCAGGTGGAAAGGCTTATCGAAAGTTATTTTTATGCTGTAGGGCCCAACGAGCAGACGGATCACATCATGGTAAGTTTCTGTCCCTACCCGTGATCCCATACAACTGAAGAGTCATAAATGCCTCAACGTCTGCCATTTCTTGAAATTTTAAGGATCGTATTAGCCGATCGTATTATTATTAAATAGCTAATTTGACATTTTATCTCCACAGATCAGTTGTAAAAGTTAAGATTGTTTTTGAAAAGCGCATAGTGATGAAGTGCCAATTGTCCAAACGATGGGGACGAAAATTGAAGATGTGGCTAGCAATTTTAAGTATAACACATACTTGTGAACAACTTTGAGTATTGATGCGTTAACAGCAATTAATTTTGTTGAAACCGTGACGCTCGTAGTCCTTTTAAGTTGTGACCTGTGATCTCTGAAGGAATCAACTGCAAAGATTTTTCATTACTTCTATCATTGCAGTTATGTTATCACTAAGTGATGTATTCACTATTAATGTTTCTTTTGATGGTGTAGCAGGGTAAACAAGCAGGGTAAAGGTTCACCTGACGGTAAGTGACTACCGCCGCATGCAACTGCAGAGTCGCAAGTGCGTTGTCCCACATTAATTCCCCCCTCACGAATCAGGGGAGCTGGGCTCCAGTAACCTCACTCAGTGAGAAGCAATGAAAGTATTACTTGACCCATGTTTTCTGTGACGCCTAGTATCACTTAGGCCAAGCCGCCCCATTTTTATGTTAATGATATTTATGAAGAAGAAGAATGAAATGCTTTATTTTGATGTAATTATTTTTTTGAAAAGAAAATTTAACTTTTGTCGGTAGTCAACTTCATCAGATGATTTTTTCCCAAATATGAATTATAATGAGCTATTCATGCAGTTGTTTTTTCTTCATTCATAATATGCCATAGTGTAACGTGATGGTTAGGTTAGGTTAGACGAGATGCAATTCCGTGTCTCAGAGATAAGGCAAAGCTGTCAGTTCCGACTGTTATCAAATATTTAC